ACAAGAAATATGGCGGTTTCCAGCCATATTTCTTGTTAGCGTATGTGTTCACTTTCGAATTGGACAAGCAAGCACGAATACACGTGCTAATGACGTCACATCCGGTTATCAGAATTAGCACTGCTAACTCAGAAGTAAACGCACCCATAGTAATTCTTTTCAAAGATATTGGTCTGTAAATAATTTAGATAACTATTTATAACAAAGTGAAAACCAGTGGTTTTTTCCAATGGTTTATATAAAATCATTATTTTGGTTATTGCAGCTGTATAAACAAAATTTACACATTATTGTAAGTTTTTATGTAGTTGCAGTAATCAAATAGTGGATTTGTGTTTAAAGTTTTTTTAGTTTAATTTGTTGATATCAGTTGCATGCTATAATACACTTTTATTAACCTGTTGTGTTTTTTTCTTGTTAATAATGCATTTAAAAAAAATTGATAAGACTTCATTATAAAATGTCTTGGTGTTGAGGCCACTACTTCAGGAATATGTGATCAACAGAAACCAGTTGATCACATTCCTGAAATACCACACAAATATCTAACAGTTAACATTATTCTGTTTGTGAATAATGTAATATAATAATATAAATAAAATTATTCTGTAATGAGAATATAATTTTGAAGTTGGAGTGAACTACAAAAGTTTTCACTGTTCGATAATGTACTATGTTGTACTGTGTTACACAGATTCAAATTTTTTGAAGTTGCATGGGAATTTTATTTTTAGTTGTATATATTTAGTATAATGGAAATAAAAATAAATTGCTATTGTGTTGCGTCATACTCATTCAAAGGAACAATCACTAGTGTGAACACCCAGGTGTGATTGCAATGGAAGTTGTACTTGTGTCATGTGGTATCTCACAGATACCAGCATTCTTTTTCTTAAAGTATTTGTGCAGTAAAAAATGTGCATTTATATGTCATTACAGTTGAAAAATTAGGAAGGTACAAACTTTTTCAGATTTTATATATATATGTTACTGTGAATGACTGATATCTGGTGAATGTCAGCATTCACACAGTCATTTCGTGTACGTACGAAATATTTGCTAAATATCATCATTTCTCACTTACACCGGCAAATGTCGACATTCGGCATGCACTGATGGTGAATGTTGAATAAAAATATTTTTATTACGTTAAGACAAAAATGCAACTTTTTAATATGTCAAAATAGGAGAAAGATTAAGTAATGGCGCACAGAAATAAACTGTTGAAACTAAAATGAACAGTACATTCTAAATCATTAAAGAAAATAATACAATAATAAACTTACACATAAATTATGTGATTGACGTTGTACAATCATATTTATTGCAATAACTTAAACTGTTATGGCACTTTGAGTCCCTTGCTTTTACAACTGCATTTATTCCTGGAACACCTTTTTGCAATGACAGCGTGTACTTTATAGCCTTACCCTCCACTTTTTGAATTAGCTGTAACTTTTTCTCTCAGAGATATTTCTTGAGAAGAAATCTCATCTATGAAAAATAACTTTTCTTTACAAATTACGAACTGATTACATTATTACATGATTACGAACTGATCTGTTAATGGTGTCTTTTATTCTGATATTGACGACGCCTTACCGATGACCCCTCTCATCCTCCGTTACTCGACCTGATCCCGTGAGGTGGGAATGACACCGATCCCCCACCTCACGGGATCAAAAGAACAAAAACACCATTCAGTGACAAAATGGGCTATTTCCACTAAACCGTTGCCGGGAAAAGAGGTACGATCTTGTTTTACCTCTGACTACTCACAAAGGATTTGGCAACAGACTGTCGCCTCTCTGTCGACATCAGCTTTTCGGGTGTCATTTCGACCTCCACCAAAGCTTATCTGTGCTTGTCGACATACACTGGCAATTGTTCAAATGTATAATAATATAACCAAATATTCGGTCTTTCACCGATGTATTTTGTATGTGTCGACATTCTCTAATTTCGGTCTTTCACAGTAATATATATATATATAATTTTAAATATGAGAGAAATGTTGAAAAATATGTTCTGTTGCATCTGTGAGATGTCATGCAACACACCAAGAGTTAAGAAGCATTTCTCTGACTTAATCTTGCTAGAATTATTTGAATATGTCTTCAAATTTCTATATTAATTTCAGTTTTAGGTAACTGATATCCAGTTCTATTTGTAATTTTTTCCTGTTCTGCCATCTGTACTTCATTCTTCTCACAAATACCGTGTTTGCTCAATTCTAATGCACACTTTTTTCCAGACTTTCTAGTCTAAAAAGTTGGGATGTGCATTAGAATTATGCATAAAGGTGACTTCATTAATGCAGCCTTGTTCATATCATTTGCCTCTTCATTCTGCTCAGCAGGTTGTTTATATTACATCAGTACAGACATATGTCTCTCCCACTACTATAATTTTGGTTTTAGAGCAGTTTTGTGAGCTGTATGCTCAACTTACTATAAATCTAATGTCCAGCAGACCAGTCTATAATGTGTTTAAGCAGAGAATTATCCACTATGTAGAAGAACGGTATAAATTTCAGTATGGAATGACACATCTAGTAAATTTCATGTTTGTATATAGATGCGAAATCTTTTCAAATGTTGATTTGTACCGTGATTTTATATTGGTCCACATATTCTCTGTATCTAATAGTAGTCATAAATGAATGCATTTGAAAATATGGACATCATGAAGCACTGTAAACATGAAAATAAAATGCTTTTCAAAAAATGCAGTTATTACTGTTTAAATGTATTAACTTTTTGCAGCTGCATTTTTGACATAGGGTGTGCATTATATTCATAAGTTAACTTTTTTGGGTTTTGATGCCTTGAAAATTGGTTGCATGTTAGATTTGATGGCACATTAGAACCAAGAGAATAAAATAGTATAAAGAATAAAACTATGTAAAGTAAATTAAACATTATTAAATTATTACTTAATTGAAAATGGCTGTCAGACTAGTTTTGTTTTCAGAATGTATTTTAATCTTATTTATTCCATTGTTTATTAAACAAAAGTTATACTGATTGACTCCTTGTTTATAAACTGAAGTTCATTAATCCTGAAACAAGTTTTTAAGAAGTCAAAAAGATTGCTTTTTATTTTGGAATCACATCTTTTTGGGATATCTCTTATTATTTGATTCCACCATTATACATATTAGAACTAAAATTCTAGCTTTAATCTATAACGGATGAAAGATATTTTAAAACAATGTCTCCCCTTTTTTCCTAAAATCTTTTTGAAGTTCATTAATGCTGAAACATTATGTAAAGAGAATAAAGAGGGAATATCATATTTAAATAATACATACATACATATATATATATATACAACAATAATAAAATTAATCATATATAATTTATCCAATATAACAAGAAGTTGTTAAAATATCTTGTAATCATATTAAATAGTTTCTTAAAAGTACAGTTAGTCCCCAATGTCATTGAGGAAAGATAGAAGTACAGTTCATTTGTAATCATTTAAATTATTTTTGTTGAATTTTCTATATAAACAGTAAAATTGATTTAATTAGGTGGAAAATAACTGCTGGAGATTGCATACACATTCCAATTAGAATTATATGATGGTTATATTAATTAGTTTATTGTAAAATTGATTGTTATTTTGCTTAACATCATAGTTTCCAACTTGAACACCAACTATATAATGTATTCACTCAGACACAAGGCAAATTTCATCATTAATTTTTATTTAGTTGATATGTGTACTTAATGTTTGTACATGTTTCAGGCTATTCTGTGATTTGAAGGTATGTTTTATACAGCATAACCTTTTATTTATATATTGTAATTTGTAACCAGTGTGTATTTATGTTTTAGTTGACTGAGGAGGGGCATGAATAGCCCGAAACATATACAAACGTTTATCAATAAAACGTTTAATAATAAAAAAAAAACGTTTAATAATATTAGTTGATATGGGTTAAGTATCCATATCAACTAAATAAAAATTAATGATGAAATTTGCCTTGTGTCCAAGTGAATACACTATATAGTCAAGTTGTACAACAATTACTGCACAGTTTCATAAGTGCTATCATAGTTTCCAAGAAGCTATTGATGGCATTGAGGACTAACTGTGTGTTATATATGAGATGTGATCAGTAAGTTCCAAGATTTATTTTTTTAAAAAGCACTTATCACCACTTAGGATAAGTTTTCTTCAAAGAAGTCTCCTTGAGATATAATACTTTTCCTAGCATCTCTGGAACTCAGATTTTGGAATTGCTTCTATAGACCTTATTGCATTTTCTTGTATGGCTTCCATGTCTTCAAAAGTTTTTCTCTTCAGCACAGTTTTTAGTTTTGGGAAAAGGAAAAAGTCAGAGAAAACCAAATCTGGCAAATACCATGGATGTTTGACTACAGTCGACCCACCTATAAGATAATTGATTTTTCCGTTTTATCTGAATTACATGTTGTACGAGTCACTTAGATTTTACAAATATGTGAGCCATTCACAGTCCGGCACACGTATTTGTAAAATCTAAGTGACTCGTACAACATGTAATTCAGATAAAACGGAAAAATCAATGATCTTATAGGGGGGTCGACTGTATTGTCTTTTTGTCCAAATACTGGTTCAGATACTGCCTTGGCATGATGTGTATAAGAAACTATGATCAGACTGGTATTGTTGTGGTCTCTTTCATCAGTTTGTGGACTCCTATGGCCATTTCTTCTAATTTCATATAAAATTTGATTGCTACTATAGGTTCAACATTTTAGAATGTGATCATATGGTATCCCTTCCCATCTTTCTACCACTGCATGTGAGCCATGATGATATCTGGTACACAAACACCCTAATGTCTCAATTATTGTTGAGGTGCAACACCCATCTGCTATTTTTCATTTTGTAAGAAAAAAATTTTCAGAATTTACTGATCAGACCAGACCTTATATATTTAAATGATAGTTTTTAACATGTTTGAAATGATTGAATAAAAATGTTAATGCTACTATTCTACATTTTAGTTTATAGTGTAGCAGTTATGTCTGTTGATCTTGGTACAGAATGGATGAAAGTTGCAATAGTATCAGTAAGTATTATTTTTGTACTTATTTTTTCTATTTTGTGCATATTTTAAAAATTTAAAGGTGTAGTAAGTAAAAATGTGATTTATTCAACTATTTGATCTATTTCTATACAGGTAACTCTCGTATAACATGGGAGTTATGTTCCAAAAAATTGCCGTGTTATGCGAATCCGTGTTATACGAAACAAAGAACTAGTACGAAAATGGGGGTTAGGTTCAAAAATTAAAAAAACATGCTATTATGTTTTCATAATTAAAATAAATATCTTTATAACAAAAATAAATCTGCCCGAGGATTTTTTGAAATTACTAAATTGAAAACGGTAACTCCCGAATAAAATTCGTGTTATACGGGGGTTACCTGTAATAGCATCTGTTAATATTGTTGGCCATAAAGCTATATCATTTATTACTTCCATGTACAGCAGGGGTGAGCAACCTTTTTAATCAACGGGCCAATTTAAATTTTAAAATTTTTTGGCGGGCCGCACATAAAGTAACACTTATTAATAATTTACAAAACTTTATTCACAATAAACATTAGAATAAAAAAAATATAAAATTTAAAAAAAGTAAAGATTTCATATACAAATTTTAATGCAAAATAAAAACAAACAAGAAAAGAACAGAAAAACGAATTTACTTGAAATTTTTAATGAGAAATTTGGCACTGTTTTTTCGATATAAGCTGATCAATATCTGCCGGAATTGATGAGGTAGCTACACGTACGCAGCTTTCTAATCGTGCGTCACTCAGTCTTGATCGGTGGTCATTTTTGATTAATTTCATGGTTGAAAATAATTGTTCGCAAACATACGTACTTCCGAACAGAGACAACATTTGCTTTGCATTTTTCGTCAAAAGCGGAAATTTCTCAGGGCTCACATAAGATTTATAAAAATTTTCGATGTTTACTGAGAAAAATACATTTTTTAAATCGGTATTATTCTGCATGTCAATCACTTCCATTTGAAAGTCTTCGGGAACTGTATCCACATCGATATTAAATGGCGAGGAAAACATTTTCATGGAAACCGCTGTCTTCTCAGCTTTGAACATTTGGAATCGTAATTGAAATTC